CCCTTCCCCTCGCCCTCCCCCGGGGAAGCCCTGGTGGGTGGGTTCCTCTGGATATGCCCCCACCTGCCCCCGGGCCCCCTCACTCCACTGTCCCGTTCTTGCTCCTGCTGTTTCGGTCCTGAAGCCCTTCCGGCCCAAACTCAGCCTCCTCTGGCCCGGCTTCCCTGATTGGCCACCGCTGTGGCTCTCTCTGTCCAGCCACTGGCTGGACCAAGGAGCACCCACCCCATGTGAGGCGCTGCGGAGCCCGGAGTAGCAAGTACAATGAGGTGACCGTGGGGACCCTGGGCTGAGGTCCGGCTTGGTCTGGGACGGGAGGAAGGACACAGCCTGTGCAGCCCCCGCCCAGGGGACAGGTGGAAAGACACAGGCCAGAGGCCGGCCCGACCTCTGCCCCAAACTTGTTTGCTGACCTTGGTGTGACCCTGCCTTGGTGTTCCCACCGGAGCCCCGAGGGACCTCAGACTGATGATGTGGCTCCTTCCTGCAGGAGCACCCACAGCCCCTTCTCTCCCCCACGGGTAGCCCCGTGCTGAGCGGGGTGGGGGCCATGGGTGGGTCTGGACCTGGGATCCATGAGGGGAGAGGAAGGGCAGCAGGGGCTGCTCCCCAGGGCGGGCCAGGACGCACAACTGGGGAAACAGGTTTGCCAACTGATGTCAGCTCTCCCTGCTGAAGGGAGGGGCGCCGGTGCTGGGAGCCTCTGGCTGGGTGGCTGGCCAACTCCGGGGCCTATTCACACCCTCTATCAGTTCAACCCTTTACCTCACCTCCCCCCAACACCCCGTAGCACACCCGCTGGGTCCCTAGCCGGCTCCAGGCGGCACAGGCACAGCCGAGGGCCTCCCCAGCCGGCCGGAGCAGGAGCAGCACCGAGTGGGCAGGAAGGCAGTGTGGGCTTCCTCCCCGGCAGCCCGGCCCCGCCTGGCTCCCAGTCCACACTCACATCCTGGGTTTGTTTGCCAGGCCCCGGCTGCCCCTGGCCTGTCCAGGCTTCTAAGGCCGCAACCAGCCAGCTTGTGCCCCAGGCCTGCCCTGTGAGGTGAGGAGCTGGGGGCAGGGGGGGGGGGGCACAGATACACCTCCTGAGGGAACGGGGGCTGACCATTGCTGAGCTCATCTAGAGGGGGTGCGGGGCATCCTCCCTCGGAGGGGTCGCCTGGCCTGGGGACCCTCCATGAGCATCCCTCAGTTTCATCACTGGTCCCAGGACAACCGAGGACCCGGGACCTGCCTGGCTCCGGGCAGGAGAGGCATGAGGGCCAGGGCAGATGTCCCTCTGATCATCGATCCCTCAGAGACCAGCCCGTGGAGATGGAGACAGGCTGGGGTGAGGGACCCCATGGGGCCAGGGACGCAGCAGCCTGCTCCGGCCCGGACCAGTCCTACTGGCCAGCCCTCTGCAGGGTCCAGGCTGTGCACAGAGCTTGCCCTGGGCACATCAAAGAAGGACCAGCTTCCATCCATACACGGCCTCCGGGCCTCTTGCCACCGGACTGGCCTCCAGAAGCTGTGGCCCTCGTGGCCTGGATTCCAAGTCCCTGGGGCCCCCACGCCGGCCTGTCCTCCCGGGAGATGGCTGGGCAGCCTCGTCACGGAGGGCCGGCCGATCGGAGCAGGAACTTCCCCAGTGACCAGATCAGGGCCACAATAGCCCATTGTGTCCGGGGCACACCTGAGCCAGGAGGAGATGCCAGCAGGTGCAGGGGGGAGGCTGGGCTGGGTGAGGGAGGGGGCAGTATCGGGGAGCCCTCCTGCGGATGCAGAGGGAAAGGGGGGCTGTGTGCACCGGACAGAGTGAGGAACCCCGGGTTCTCAGCTCTGCCAGGACCTCACCGTCCGAAGCCATTACTGGAGGCGGCCTCGGGGCCGGGACACCAGACGGGAGCTCCGCCATCCCTTTCAAACTTCCCTCCCAGCTCGGCCCCTGCCCCACGCTCCGCACCGTGTCTTCCGCCTGGACCGGGCCAGCCCCGCGTGGGCTGAAGGGGCGCTCGCCGCGGCCAGTCCCCCGGGCAAGGGCTGGCGTCCGAGGGCACCGCGGTGGGCTGCACCCCCTCCTACCCGCCCCCCCCCCCCAGCTCACTCAGACCCGAGGGCGCCGGGGCCACACCTGCGGGAGGGGCCGGGCCACATGCAGCCCCAGCCTCCCGCCCTCTCCCTTTCCTTTCCCAGCCTCAGCTTCCCCGCTTGTAGATGTGGGGGCGCGGTCCCCCCCACAGGGTCTCCCGAGGGGCCCACCCCGAGGCGCTCTCCCAGGGGTAAGGCGCACGCGGTGCGCGGGCCGGGCTCCCCTGCGCGTGTCCCCGCGGCCCTGGCGGCTCCGGGCGCAGGTGCAGCAGGTGCGGGCGCGGGGCTGGGAGCCGCTGGGCGCGGGGCTGGGAGCGGGTGGGCGCGGGGCTGGGAGCGGCTGGGCGCGGGGCTGGGACCCGGTGGGCTCGGGACTGGGACCCGGTGGGCGCGGGGCTGGGAGCGGGTGTGCGCGGGGCTGCGACCCGGTGGGCGCGGGGCTGGGACCCGGTGGGCGCGGGGCTGGAAGCCGCTGGGCGCGGGGCTGGGAGCGGCTGGGCGCGGGGCTGGGACCCGTGGGCGCGGGCGCGGCGGGCGGCTCACCTGCGTGCGGCGCCGCGGCCACAGCTCGCAGAGTCGCTCCGGGGCGGCCATGGCCCGGCCCGGCTCCGGCCCCGCTGCGCGCCACCTGCCGCCGCCGCCTCCTCCGCGCCGCCCGCCGGCTGCCCGCGGCCAGGCCCATGGGCGGCGGACGTCTGTCCGGGCGGAGCGGCGGGGACTCCGGGGAAGCCGTCCCGGCCCCGCGGAGCCTCAGATCTGCGCGCTCTCCTCGCGGCCGCCGCCCCGCTTCCTGCCCTCGGCGCCCCGCGCCCCGCCTCTCCGGGGACCGAGCGCGGGGCGGGGAGCGCGGAGGAGGGGCCTGGGTCCGGGCGGCCCGGGGTGCCGCAGCCCCGCCCCCAGGGCTGAGCCCCATGAATGTCGGGGTCAGGCGTTCCCCGTTTGTCCTGGGTCTGGACACCCCCGGACGCAGCCTGCCGGGCTGGCCTCGCCACCGTTTGTGCAAAGGAGAGGCTCGCGGGTGCGGGACGGCGCTGCGGCCGCGGGCAGTGCCCAGGGTCCTTCCACCAGCAAGTGTGACAGTTACCATGGCGACCACTTGCGGAGCTGACCGCGCGCAGGGGCTGCTTTCAGACCGAGGACTACTTAAAAAAAACAAAAAACAAACAAAAAAAAAACATTAAAAAAAATTGACTTCAGAGAGGGAGGGAGAGAGAAACTTCAATAATGAGAATCATTGATTGGCTGCCTCCTGCACAGGTCCCCTCCTGGGGATCGAGCCCACAACCCGGGCATGGGGACTGAAGGGGAGATGAACCCCGGACCCTTCAGTTTGCAGGTTGACGCTCTATCCACTGAGCCAAGCCGGCTGGGGCCCAAGTGCCACTTCTCTGCATGGACTGTTGGTGGAGCAGAATGGGGGTCAGAGCAGCAGGACAGCCTGAAGGGACCCCCTGGGAGAGCAGTCCCCTCATCCCATGGGGGGCAGATCCCTGGGAGAGTTAGCCAAGCTCTCCTGGGTGCGCCGGTGGAAACACGGCCGCTCCAGGTTCAGCACTTACTTCACATATTTCGAATTCTTTAACCTTAAGAGGTTAGAGGCAAGGGGGTGCCTCATGCCTTTGTTTTGCAGGAGGAGAAACAGGAGCCCAGAGGGGCCAACATGGGACAACCTGGGCAGCCAGGGTCACATGGACAGGGACAAGAGGCCTGACTCACGCCTCGCTGGGCCACCATCATCCTCGGCTTCTGTCCATCAACCTTCCCAGCTGGTTTGGGAGGTGAGGGGCCCTCTGGTGTTGAGGAGGGGCCAGGCCCTTGGTCGGGGCTGGGGGGGCGGGGGAGAGTTTGTGGGGCCCAGAGAGGGTGTAGGACTTGACCAGTCTGGAGCCCCTAGAACTTGGGAAGACAGACTCTGTCCCCATCCCCATCCCCATCCTGTTCTGTCCTCTTGGCTTCTTGGGCAGCCCTCTACGCTGGCCTTTTCTCCTGCCCCGACCATCCTACCACTGAGCTGCCATTTCCTGAGTATCTGCCACCTCCACACCAGGCACCCCACCTGACGCAGGAGATAGGGAGCCAAAAGGCCCAGGTCAGTGAGGTCAAGAAGGTCGTTTGGGAGAGCAGGGTGGGGCGGGTCTGTGGCCAAGTGGCATTTGTTTTCCCAGGTGGGGGAAGATAGAGTTCTGGGGACCCCAACATGTCAGATCTTCACTTTAGCCAAAGGGGTCTCGGTTGTCAGGGCGCGCTGATTAATGCAGGGAAGAGCCTACCAGGAGCAGGGCCCTGGTGGCCACCTGGTGCCGTCGAGGCCAAACCAACTCTTCCTTCAGTTCTCAGGGACTAAGCTCTAGGGGTTCCTGGGGGCCCAGGTTGGGGTAGTCTGACTTTTCCACTCCAGGGTGTTGGAGAGATGGGAGAGGACCATCCATGACCCCGAAGGGAAATTGCCATCCAGGCAAGCCCTGCATGGCACAGGCTTTGTCTGAGCTGAGAGTGGACATAGAAGGGCCTAAGGGCCCATGGACAATCCCAAGAGCCACTGATGGTGAACACAAAGGGAGAGGTAGACCTCTTGTTAGTTTGGGGTCGGAGTGGCGAGTCAGAGAAGGCTTCTTGAAGGCTTTGGAGCCTTGAAGAATCAGAACACGTGCACAAAGGTTTGGGTCAGCGCTTTCCAAGTGGCCGGCGTGGAGCGAGCTGTGGCTAGCGCTTTAGGCAAAACCTGAGCGATCGACGCGCTCTGCTCTCCTTCACTCAGGTCTGATTCCACTTGCTGCTTTCTCACTGATTGACGGTGAACGCCTCACGCTATGCCCGCCCCCTACCGGCTGGGCGAGTCGTAGGGGAGGGAGGGGGCGGGCCCTTATATAGCAACTCAGCGTAGATTGGCTTTCAGGACTTCCTGCTCTCTCAGATTCGTCCTCGGATTGGCTGTGAACGCCATCTACTCATTGGGCCTGCGCAGTGTGAGACTGACGGCGGGCAAGATGGCTGCTCCTGCGGCCGGTGTGGGCCGGCTAGAGGAAGAAGCGCTGCGGCGGAAGGAACGGCTGAAGGCCCTACGGGAGAAGACCGGGCGCAAGGTGAGGAGTGCGGCGGGGGATAGAGGGGGGTGGAGGGGGCGCGGCTGCGGGAGCCAGCGTTCGGAACCGGGACGAGGGGGCTGGGAACTCCTACGGGAAGGCCGCTGCCGGGGGCGCGCATGCGCACGGGGCGGAGCATGCGCAGGTTGGGCGGCCGGGCCGCGGTCGGGGCGCCGCGGACCCTTTTGCTGGCTGTTCCCCGCGTGGGTCTCCGGAGCCAGCGGCCGTCTGAGTCTGGCTGGTGTAGGCGTGATGGGCTCGCGACTGGACGCGCAGAAACTCCCGTTGCCAACCAGGTGCATCCCATGAGTAGCGGCCCCGCCTCCGGACGCCCCGCGGGGACCGTGGGTGACGAGACCCCGGAGGGAGAGGCCCATGTCTAGGTCAGGGTGGGCCTGAGGACGAGAGGACGGCGCTCGGTTCTTTCCCAGCCGACTTCTCGGGGATGGACTTCCTAAGCCGGCTAGTCGCCATACGAGCAAGCTTTCCCCCTTGCTGCTGCTTTGACACCAGAATGGTCTGATTCCCTCTCTGCTTTCTCTTTCCGAAGTAACGGAGAGTCAAAGGAGGAGGAGAGCCTGAAGTTCACTGTCCGTGTGCAAGCCCTGGCCCTTTCGCTGGGGGCCGTGGGCGTGGGGACACTTTGCTTCCTCTGTGAGCCCCGGCTTTCCTCCTAACAACCCCCGCACACTCATTCATCCCCCCGGATGACTTTGAGATCTAAAAGGATCATCTGTAGGAAAAGGCCCTAAAGACAACGGAGGGATGGAGGTTGTTGGTTCTGCTCTGGTTGGATGGATGAAAACCCTGTCCTGAACGCAACAAAATACAACACATAAACTATCTAGATGGGTGAGAGGTGGGGGTGGTGGGGGGAAACAGGGACTCCACTTTGCAACTTAAAACTGAAAAGAAGAAAAAATCAGCTGGTCAGCCTGGCCTCTGTACTTTCTGCGTGGTGCGCTGGGAAAGGGGGCAGTAAGAGGGAAGCTTGCCAGATTGACGGCTGCTTTTGTGGGCAGCTTGTCAGCACCGCCCGACAGTTATCCCCAGAAACCACCTGGCTGAGGGAGTCTCAGGCTTCTCTCAGCCTTTCAGCAGCAGCGAGTCAACGTGTGTTACTGACTCGGGTCCAGGGCCCAGGTTATTGGGACTGGGTTTGAGGTCAGCACAAGGACAAGAGGGCACCCACATCGTTAGGGCCCGGGGCCCTGGGAGGGATGCCCAGGCCATCGGGAGATCCGGCTTCACGAGGAATTCTCTCGGGGCCGACAGGATAGCCTGTCTTTTTTAATTTTTATTTTTTTAAATTTACATTTGCTTTTTATTTTTTATCTTTTAATATTTTTTATTGATTCTTTACAGAGAGGAAGGAAGAGGGATAGAGAGTTAGAAACATCGATGAGAGAGAACCATCGACCAGCTGCCTCCTGCACACTCCCCACTGGGGATGTGCCCAAAACCAATGTACATGCCCTTGACCGGAATTGAACCTGGGACCTTTCAGTCTGCAGACCGATGCTCTACCACTGAGCCAAACCGGTTTCGGCAGCCTGTCTTTTTTTTTTTTTTTTTTTTTAATTTATTGTAAGAATACACACAATAAAATTTACTACTTAGAATGTACAATTCAGTGGTGTTAAGTACATTCACAATGGTAGGTAACTGTACCACTGTGTTCAGAAAATTTTTATCATCCAAATGGAAACTACCTTTTAAATATCAGTATCAAACCCATCCCCCTCCTATCCCAGCCCCTGGCAACCAGCCTTCGCTTTCTGTGATTGAATTGACTCCTTTAGATCTCTCAGATAAGTAGAACTAGGGGCCCACGAATTCGTGCACCTTGAAGGGAACACGAGGCTGCAGTGGGCACAGGAGCGGGTCTTGGCCCCTCCTGCCCAGACCCCAGGCCCCTGTCTGAGGGCAGCCTGCTCCGCTGCCGATGCAGTGCTGACGGCACATATCGATTGGGGATCCATTGGGGCCGTCAGCCGTCAGCCGTTCCGGTGGCAACTGCTGCCTGGATCGTCCCTCGGGAGCAGGGGGAGGTGGAGCAACCCTGAGGAGCGATTGGGCCGACTGCTGCCTCTCGCACCCACTGATGGCACCCAGCGATCGGGACTGTGCTGGTGCCTGCAGTGGGTGCGAGTGGGGGCTGCCAGCCCCGATGGCCCATCAGGAGCAGGGCGAGGTGAGCAGCCCTAAAGGGCAATCTGGCATCTGTCTCTCGCACCCACTGATGGCACTGCTGGGTGCCAGCAGTGGGTGTGAGTGGGGCTGGCACCAGCAGCAGGTGTGAGCACCGTAGGACTATGGTTCGAGGGAGCAAAGAATTTTCAGTAACCACCAGAGACTTGCCTGGATCACAGCAACCAGCGCCACGCCTTGGTCTGGTGCCCCCTGCTCACCTGCTTTACCATCCTGACACGTCCAATGCCCGCCATGTTCCGCACGTGCCCCTTGGGGTCAGTGCACATCATAGCGACCCGATGGGTTGTTCCGGTTTATTTGCATGTTAGCCTTTTGTATATATAGGTTATATAGCATTTGTCCTTCTCTAACTGACTTATTTCACTCAGCATAACGTCTTCATGGTTCTTCCGTGTTGTGCCATGTGTCAGAATTTCATTCCTTTTTCAGGCTAAACAGTATTCTGTTGTATGTACAGTTGACCCTTGAACAATGATTGGGGGTGCCCAACTCCTCCCCGCCCCCTGTCTCAAATCTGTGTGGATCTTAAGCCAGCCCTCTGCATACCTGGCTTCTCAACTTTGGGTCAGAATACCGTTTTCAATCCAGGGTTTGAATTGAGGTGGGAAACCTGGGGTGCCGGGAGCTGACTGTATTTATTGAAAGAAGTCTGAGTGTAAGTGACCGTGTGGTTCGAGGATGTGTTCTTCAAGGTCTGTTAGATTTTTATTTCTTTATGAGTCAGTTTCAATACATTGTGTGTTTCTAGGAATTTTTTCCATTTCTCCTGTGTTTTCATGGTTGGCATACTAATGGCTGCTTTAATTGGGTTTACTCTCCACAGTTCTGGCTTCAGAAAGCTCTTGGCTGCAAACTCATTTCTGAAAAAGTTGCATTCGGAAATCACATGGCTCTCTCTTGGAATTGAGAGGTCATTGCCTTTGTAGTTTCCTTGCATTATTTTCAAGCAACAAGAGTTATGTGCAATGGGGTATGTACACATATAATATCTTAATAAAAAAAAAAGAGTTATGTGCAATGGACGCAGACACTGGGGCGGTGGGGGCTCGCCCACGGGGGTGGGAGTGGTGGGGGTCAATTGTGAAAAAGGAGACATGCAATACTTTAAACAACAACAGAAAGTTATTGCAAAGTCACTTGTTTGGCACCACTGGAAGCTTTTTCTTTCCTGGTGTGCCTTTTCTCTCCGGAAGCTCTTAATTCCTTCCCACCACCCACTCCCATATCTAGTCCTTTTCCTGCATGGAAGGGGACATTGGAACATATTGTTGGCTTTTCAGTCACCAGGCTGTGGTATCAGTGGTAGATCAGTAGCAGGTGGTAAAGTGTTTGATTTGGTTCGAAATGGATTATTGGAGCTGGTAACACATTTCTTCCACAGATGTATACTGAACACCTACTGTGCACCAGTCATTCCGGCACTGGGGGTCTGGCAGTGAGTGAACAAAGCAGTCAGAAGTCGCTGCCCCAGCAAGCCTCCATGCAGCTGGCGAGAGGGCAGTCAGGCAGACGTGTCGTGGTAGATGGAGGTGGTGCTGTGCAGAAAAGGAAGGGGATGGGCGTGCAGAGCGCACCTGTTTCCCCGGCAGCTCTAACCGGTTAAGCTTGTTCAGGTTAACCTGGTTCATGATACCAGCTGCCTGGCTTATCTTATCTGGTCTTCTGACAACCCTGAGAAGAAGGAGGAAGGGTGAGTTTATAATTGAAAACACACTGAGACCGATAAAAGTGAAGTGTTTTCCTCGAGGTCACGTAACTAATGTATCCCAGGTGAGTGCTAGCGTTAGAAGGGACCATGAGAACAGGTGGTGGTTCTCGTTTTTATTTTATTGATTTTAGAGGGAGAGAGGCATCAGTTTGTTGTTCCTCTTATTTGTGCATCATTGGTTAATCCTTGCCTGCACCCTGACCGAGGATCAAACCCGCAGCCTGGGCGTATCAGGACGACGCTCTAACCAGCTGAGCTCCCGGGCCACGCCTCACTGTGCTTTCTGATACCCTGTAGGTTTTGTAAATTTCCTGCGCAAAAACAGTAGTAGTAAGAGTATAGGCCCAGAATGCCCTGCTCCCCTCTGGATTCAGATTCTGGCCCTCTACCCTCCGGGCGAGGACAGGTGTATTCTTCTGTGCCACACATCCTTTTAGTATTTGTCCCTATTGTGGCAAAAGAGATGAACATAAAACTTGCCGTTAACCATTTCTCAGGGGCATTAAGTATATTACACAATCATCACCACTATTTCTAAACCTTTTCATCATCTCAAACAGAAACTCTGTACCCCTTAAGCAATAACTCCCCATTCCTTTCTTACCCCAGCCTCGTGAAACCTCTAATCTACCTTCTGTCTGTGACTTAGCTATTCCATACCTCATGTAGGTAGAATCGGACAATATGTGTCCTTTTGTGACTGGCTTATTTCACTTACCATGAGTTTTCAAGTTCATCCATATTCTAGCATCTATATGTATAAAAGCCAAGCGACTGGAATGCCAGAATGACTGGAATGACCGGTTGCTTTGACATGCATTGAGGCCCCCAATCAGCCAACTTGTACCCCGATCAGGGGCGGAGCCACTCAGCCGACCGCCCCCAGCCCCTCCCCCAGCTGGCCCAGCTCCAATAGACCCCAGTTGGGGCAGGCCAGCCGGGCCCCACCCGAGCATGAATTCCTCCACCGGGCCTCTTGTGTTACAGAACTTATTTATTTATTTATTTCCCCCCTGTATTTTTAGCAAGCATTTATTTTTTTCTTTTTATTAAGGTATTATATGTGTACATATCTTAC